ATTACAGGAAACGTCAACAATGCTTCATTAAGCTGTGAAATTTGTCTTTTCAGCAAAAAAATTGGATTCAATGTCAATTAGATGGTTAGATGGATGTGTTTATTGTTTTGACAAACATGAAAATGTTGCTTGCAGCAAAGCACCAGAGCGTTGGAGAGAACACACTTCTATTTTTAAATCAATGCATAATGAAGTTCATGCAGCAAAAAAAACACTTCAGACACATTTTAACCTGATTTTGCTTTCCTGCAGAGGCTAGAAAGTTTTTAAAAGAATCCCTACCATTAATACAAAATAGTGTTGCTGCTCAACCTAATCAAATGTATTTATTTATTTATTTTTGGTTTTGTGTCGTGAAAGCTGGACAATTGTAGATTTTGCTTTGGGAACATTAAAGTACAAAAGACAAACAACTTCATAACTATTTGTTCTCCATTAGTCTATCATGGGCTGTTTCTGAGCAGGTGGTGTGAGAAAACCTTCAGTTCACCTTCATGAAACTCACTCAATTTAATCTTGAATCTCTGGCAACGTACACATTGAGTGGCCTGGCCACCTTAAAATTACCCATTACCCATCTGTGCCACCCCACCAGTCTCTCCAGGGACCCTCCAGCAGCAGATGCAGTGTAACACTTCATTTGTAAAACTGTAGAGAGGAAGCAAGAGAGACTTTGCCTGAAGCCTGTATTTCTAATTCAGGGACCACACTGAGGGAATCTGACTCCAGATCAGCAGTCCTGCGTCAAAACCTCTTTCAGAACAGGGACTGTATCGGTGAACCTTGGCCTCCATTTGGTGTGTACAAAGACGAGTAGCTCTTGTTAGAGAATGATCTGCCCTGTGCTCTCGACCTGCTCATGAATAAACCAGACTGAATGCCATCAGAATAGCTGCTTTCATTTACTTAGTGGTCCTGCTGAAAATTTCAGATTTTTGTTGGGCGATAAAAGTTATTTGGTGAACAAAGAAGCGCTAGATTCATTCACAGATGGGAAGATTGGAACTGGTTTATACTGCGTACTAACCATCACTGTGGTGCCAATACAGCAACAAGAGTTAATGCCATTTAAATGTATTTTGTCCAAAGCCAGGGGGTTTCAAACAAAAATATAAAGATTTCTAAATTATAAAGCTATATGGCTATATATAATGGTACCACGAGAAGCATCATGGTCCTAAATCCTGTACAAGTGACTATCCCGGGCTGTAACAAAGACAATGAACAATGAGAAATATAATTAATCTGTCACAAATAAAGTCCATTTCTCACTTTCTAAAAACAAATGGGGTACTGATAAAACTAAACTAAACTAAACAAAACAATTAAAGCTATACAGCTATATATATATATATATATATATATATATAAATAATAGTTATAGCTAAATATATATTTCTATTTCTATATATATTTAAGATGACTGCATGTGAATTACATGCAAAATTGTTTTCTTCTCACATTAAAAAACTAGCGCTATCAGTAGAATAATATCAAATAATCTCATGATTTCTGAAATAGTAGTGAAAATTAACTGGTTCAAAATTGGTTCCACATGCTGTAACTATATATTACATACATACAGAAAACCAAGGTGACTTTCGTGTTGCTGCAAACTGCAATGCGCCTGGCTGGGACACTGTACAGTATTTAAGGCTCAATGGAAATAAGTTGACTCCATTGGTCAGTTTCGTTACACAGCTGATAATGGAAATGGAAGCACTAGTAAAGAATCTGATCCTCTGAGAATCTGATCCATGAAGATTTGAATCCCATGAACTGTAAAAATACCACAACAAACTGACACACTTACGTTTGAGCAGTTTCCTCCGATAAAATACATAGAAATCTTAAAGGAACAGTTCACTCCCCAAAATAACTAAAATAGTAATTAAAAAATGTAACATAAAAATGTCCCATATGACTGAGGTAGAAAAGCTCATAAATTGTCTAATATCTAGCATTTTTGTTTCACAGAAGAAAAAAATATAACACAGGGTTGGGATGAACAATGTAAAATATGTAAATGTAATGTAAATATGATTCAAACACATTTTTGGGTGAACAGCATGACTAAATATCTACATAACAATGTAAGTAGTACAGCAATAAAGCTGAAATTCTGTGAAAAGTTGCATAAAGCATCCATTAATATAGTAGGAGTACTATGCTGCACTCTTTAACTCGAATCTGTCTCCATTTTATGTCAGCAATAAATCTGTACACACTATATCTCTATGCCTGCTGACTGACAGCCTCCACACACTGTATTGTTAGCCTGTGAGTTCTCTTGCTGACATTCTTTTTCAATAAGGCAGCACTAATACAATTTTTTGGGGTCACTTTTTGTGAAATCCTGCCACTGACAGGTGGGCCTATCAGCTGAAATGGCAGGGGATCTGGGCCCAATATCTTTGTCAGATGCATTGTAATTGTAAGGGGCAGTGCGGATGAACCGGCTGGTCGGGATATTGCTTTGTATTTCCCCAGAGCCCGTCGCCTCCTCTAGTCTTTCACTACATCTCTCCCTGATTTTGTGTGGTGAAGAGACAAAGAGGGAAGGAGAGAGAGAGAGACCAAGGCACAAGTGGGAGCCTGGCTCACATACTCATTTGCTTGAGTGAGAACAAGGAATATGTAGATATCTAAAAAAAAACACAGAAAGAGAAAAGCACAGCTGAAATGACCAGCTTAACAGACAAGCCATGCTGTTCAGCAGAAAAAGTTATCTAGAGAAGCTGGTCAAGAAAGTCTACATTACCCATTTATATTCTCATTTATCTCAATCTGCCATCTTTGCTCATGGGCACTCATTCCATCCAGGTTTGTTTGACTTGCTGTCACCTAATTACAGAAGGAAAAAGACTCCATGATAACATTCACTGATGGCCACGCAAGAGCCCTTACAGTCCTAAACACTTTAATAAAGAAATATAGCCAGTTTCTCTCTTTTCCAGAATATAAATAAATAAACAAATAAAATAGGGTAGGATATCACAATATTACAGTTTTTTTCTGTATTTTTGATCAAATAAATGCAGCCTTGATGAGCAGAAGAAACTTCTTTAAAAAACAATAAAAATCCTACTGATCCCAAACTTTTGAGCGGCAGTGTATATCGAAATCCTCCCACATTTTTCTTTACAAATCCTCGTTTTGTGCTTCTAATTTGTGACCGGCGTTTTTTGTTTTGTTCTCTCTCCACGTTCGTCACTAATCACGCAACGCCGACGTCCTACGCCGGAACGGCTTCTGCTTAACAGTTAGATGAAGTGAGAGAGAAGTGTTTATTACGTTTGAAATATGGATATTTTTCTTACAAAAATGCATGGATTTTGAACAGGAGGCCTTTATTCACCCCCCCCCGGAGCCGTGTGTAGCGTCTGGAACACTCCAACACACAATATATATTTTGTTAGCTAGATTTCACAAATACTTTGTAACACCCCAGGACGCCGAACAAGACCCTGGTTTCATGGTAACCCGATACATTTACAACCTTGTGGAATGCGAGCCGGCTCTCATTCTGCTTTCTCCAGAAACAAAGGGACACAAATGCACAGGAGAAATGGACTTTTCTACTAATTTTCTTACAAAAATGCATGGATTTTGACCAAGAGGCCTTTATTCCCCCCCCCCCCCGGAGCCGTGTGAGGCATGTTTTATTATGGATGTGTGCGCTTTATTTGACGTCTTTTGGACTGGTCTCAGAAACACCCACCCACTGCAATGATAACGCTTGGAATAGCCAGGACAATTTTTTATATAACTCTGTAGCAAATTAGCTGGTTATAATTAATAAAAAATATTTAGATTAGATCTTAGAATTAACTGTAGCAGAATCAATATTACAATTATTTGATCTGTCCGTCCACCGAGCAGACAATATAATAATTTATCAACTCAAGGAAAGATTATTTTCCAGGCCAAGGAACAGTAGCTTTCCTACTCTATGCAGTACTAGCAGTAATTTAGCATGTAGCAAGATTCAACATTCAGTGACCCCGAATTGTGAGCAGCACACAGAGACAATCAATTGTGAATATAAGGGATTTAATAAATTAAACTATAGCTAATGTAAAACTAAACTAAGCAAAACACATATATACAAAATGGAAGGAAAGTGAGGAAAGAGAAAGGAGCAAAAGAATGGCAGTATTTCCCATCAATTAACCACAACCTAATGAGAATCATCAAAGAATCAAAAATCACCTTAAAAGGGGCTCAAACTTAAACATGCATCTAAATAGTTGTAAACGGTTACTTGCATTGGCTTCGATTGCTGAAAAAGAGTCCTTATGCGGCAGATAACGGAGGTTCTTGATGAGTTCTTTTAGAACTGAGCTGGAGGTTTTGCTCTGGTTCCTCTGAAGATAGGAAAGTCCACAGCGGATCGACAAAGTTACTTGAAGATAAAAACTGCCGGAAAATCTAACTCAAGAGGAGAGTTTTGAGGAGTCTTGGATAGTGTCCATCTCAAGAAGAAAGGTTTTTGAGCCAAGATTAGTCGGAGCTAATGACTTTTGAAAGTTCCTAACCACACCCACCTTTTGGGTGGGATGGCCAATCAGAGGCATGAATTTTGAGCGGGAGAAACTTTCTTTGTCTCTGGTTATGGCCCATTTGCCTGTTTATTGCTGGTCTGGAGGATTGGTGCAGTTTTACCCAAAATATGGTACAAATAGTATGATGCATTTCACGATCACATAGTGTACATCATTGTTTGAGGAATAAAGAGCAGATCATTTTGATATCAAGAACGAAACATCTAGAAGATCTTAAAGCAGAGATACACTCATATACCTGAATATAAGCATTGAGAGTCTAACTAATACAAATAAAGAGTTGTAACTAGGCTAATATAATAGGGAAACATACAAACATCACATGCATATACCAGAGACAATTGTAACTGATTAATTATACTTTAAATAAAGAAAATGTCTTTATGTGTGTGTGTTATGTGTATTGCGAGCATGGGGGTAGTTCGCTGGCCATCAGAAATCTGGTGCCAGGTACTGTGGATGACTGTCTCTTAGGACATTGGAATGTGTTTGAAGTCGATGGGGATACCAGAGAGTTGATCTGGTTAGCCTCTAATTGACAATGGGGGGGTGGGGGGCATCGCATAATACGGCCATTGCATAATATTCCACTTTTTTACCTTCAAAAACTCCTGGGTTGTTTTTGCAGTATGTTTTGGGTCATTGTCCACTTCTACTATATTTGCTGCATTTGGCCGAATCTGGGCAGAGAATATATCCCTATACACTTCAAAAGTCTTCCGGCTGCTTCTGTCCTCTGTCACATCATCACTAAACACCAGTAACCCAGTGCCCCTGGAAGCCATGCATGCTCATGCCATCACACTGCTCCACCATGTTTCACAGATGATGTTGTATGCTTTGGATCATGAGCTGTTCCAAGCCTTCTCCATACTTTTTTCTTGCCATCATTCTGGTACAGGTTGATCTTAATTTCAGCCGTCCAAAGAATGCTTTTCCAGAAGTTTCCAGGAATGTTTTTTGGCAAAGTCTAATCTGGCCTTGTTTGCACCTTGTGGTGAACCCTCTGTATTTGCTCTTGTGAAGTCTTCTCTTGATTGTAGACTTTGACAGTAGTGACACACCTAGCTCCTGGAGAGTGTTCTTCACTTGGCTGGATGTTGTCAAAGGGTTTTTCTCTACCATGGAGAGGATTCTCAGATCATCCACCATTGTTGTCCTCCGTGGACGTCCAGGCCTTTTTATGTTGCTGAGCTCACTAGTGTGTTATTTTTTTCTCAGAATGTACCAAAATGTTGATTTGGCCACTTCTAATTTTCCTGCTATCTCTTTGATGGATTTGTTTTGACTTTGAAGCCTAACAATTGACTGCTTCACTAGCATGGAGAGCTCCTTTGACAACAAGATGTGGGTTCAGAGCAACAGCTTCCAAACGCAAATGGCACACTTAGAATCAACTCCAGAACTTTTACCTGCTTAATTGATGCAGAAATAATGAAGGAATAGCCCATGCCTGTCCATGAAACAGCTTTTGAGTCAATTGTCCAATTACTTATGATCCCTTGAAAAAGGGGGGAGGCACATATTAAAGATTTGTAATTCCTTAACCTTTCCTCCAATCTTGATGAAAATAGAATAATAATCAAATTAAAGATGAGAGTGTGTACTTTAAGCCCATATTCATTATATAACTGTAACTTTATAACTGTAAATGTTTTGGTCAGCAGCTAAAATAATAAAAATTGCGCCTGTGTCAGGCAAATATACTGTATATGGACCTAATTATATGCGCACATACTGCAAACAAAACAATATTTTCAAGCATTTGCGAGCCTCGTTATGTGTCACATTTTTCCCACAGCTGCAAATCCACACATTTCCATAGTTTAATCAGAATTTTAATTTCTAGAACAACAGTGTTCACAGATAAGATGTGAGTGTTGTGTGCCTGGTTTGCAGCAGGCAGGATAATCTTGCTCTGGGTGGAGTGGCTGTACTGTAACTACCTTAATCCTTTCTCTCTTGTTCTCTCTTTTCCCCGTTCTCCTTGCCTCTCTTCCTTTCTCCCTAATTTTTTCCTTTCTTCCTCCCTTCTTCTCCAGTTAAAAGAGCCATGCTCTCCATTAACTCTTCTCAACAAGAACTCTGGAGGAGAGTATGCCATTAAACACAGGCCCATTTTAGGCAACGGGATTAAAAGGGAAAGAGTTCAGCAGAATGTGCGAGGGGGAAGGGTTTAGAAAGTGCTGGAATAAAATCAACACTCACATCTGGTAAAGCGAGAAAGCAGTTAAGAGAGTAAGAGTGCTTCTTAGAGATAGACACTCTTCCAAAAGGTCTGCAAATGCTGAGAGAAGAGAGAAAACAGCATGGCTGGACACACAACACTAAACCTCACTAGGTGGTATGGATTGTTTCCCACAGCCTCATCCGTCCCTCTCAAGCTCAATGAAGGCGTTATATAGGAGTGCTCTCAAATCTCCCGCTGCTCGAAAACTGACAACACAAGTGGCTAACCAACATTGCAGGAGATGAAGACAAAGAACGGCAGGTCCTGGCTCAGTTTGTGATAAATGGCCCAGTGCTCAGTGTTAAAAAGGTGTTAAGAAGGTAAGCTGCCGTGAGTCCGCTCCAGCTTGGAGATGGATCTTTTGTTGACTGTTCTCAATTCTTATACCTAAATGCAGAAAAATGGGGCAGGCTATGTAAAAATGCATTCGGTTAACAAAAACGAAGTAGACCGCAATTCTATGTGACGTTCTGCTGGCAATGGGGGGGGGGGGGGGGGGGGGGGGGTCTCGTGTGGATCATTGATTGAAAAATCAGAGGGGTAAGCACACTGGGGGGGTGTCTGTTGCTGCAGTAACATGTAGTGATTGAACATTAAGGGGATGATAACATTTAGAGTGCATGAATCTCTCTGACCCACTCTAACTATGTTAACAGACGTTTCTATCAGGACAATGATTGGCTTCAAATACTTTTGAGTGTGTCTCAATCTGTACTCTAGCGCAAGTGCATGTTCATGATATACTTCAAAAATTGAGAATAATAGGATAGACAGTCAAACCAAAACTTATTCAGACACCTTCAACATTTCTCCCATTATCATAGCTTATTCGCTATAGTTTAGAAAATGGAAATAAAATATGACAAGAACTCAGAGTTAAACTGTGTCAGAACAAATTCATCTTGATATTGTCAGATAACACTGATAGAAAGGTATGTAATGAATTAAGTTGAATAGCTGTTAGTTGTCAGCTGTTATATTTAAGTACACAGTTGGATAATACCAATTTAGGTCAAGCAATTACCAAGCAATGCTTAATTTAGTTCAGTCTGGTGTAAAAAGTCTGGTCCCACATTTTGATCAATTTTACTGGTTTCATACCACTGTATGAATAATTTTTGGGTATAATATGTCACAGTTTACTTTATTTTGCTATCCTCACTTACATAAATTAACTATAGTGTCCTGCACCCATTAGTAAAAAATTCAAAAATTATATCTGGTGTCTGAATAATTTTTGGTTTGACATTATATATTTGTATAAAGGGAAATAAGGGATTGAGACATAGCCATTATGATATTCTCATCAATTCTAAAATCTAAAAAGAACTGAATTTATTTTAAATACATTTTTATAACAATGTAAAAGTCTCTACGGTCTCTTTTGAGCATTTAATGCCAATAAATATGTGACCCAAAACTTTTGAATGGTAGTGTAAAAAAAATAAACGGTCACACTTTTTTTCAGGTCCACTTCTTGCTATTAACAAACCATTAACTACGACTTTTGCCTCAATAAACAAAAATTTGCTGCTTATAAATAATTAGTACGGTAGTTGTTACTGTAAGTGTAGGTTTTGGGTAGGATTAGAGATGTAGAATATGGTCATGCAGAATATGTTCTTTATAAGTACTGAATAACAGCCAATATATTAATAATAGGCATGCTAATAAGCAACTAGTTAATAGTGAGAAGTGGTCCCTATACTAAAGTGTTACCAAAAAAAAAAAAACAATTTTAAAACTTAAAAAAAGAAGTAAATATCTACATACTCAGTTCATGATTGTTTAAAAGCTGGCCAGATCCTGTGCCATTTTTTTGAATAAGTGAGTGCAATAAAGCAGGGCCAGGAATCTGTGGACTCTTTCATGGTGATTTCATGGTAAAATTTGTTAACAGCATTGAATGTACTACACTCCCACTGGTAGCTTAGAGCATAATCAAATGAACCAAAATATCTAATAAACAAACACATAGGATACTGGGGCTGTACAGAACTTTCTCAATAGTGGCAGTACCAAGGCTGCAAAAAAATTTTTTGCTGCAGTTTTCAATGTGCAGATTTAATGCGGCCAATGAGCTCCACATTCAGTGTATATATGAGGACAGAAGACTTTTTTATAAGCCTTTCATATCTATGCAGTACACACACAATGCGGCATGAGGTGCAGACAGAAACTTAGAAATGAACAGAGAGGAAGAATGAAAAGTGACAGAGAGAAAATAAGAATCATATTACAGTGACGGCGGCAGGGATCTTATCAGAGATCATGAGCTGATGAGAGCAACACTCATGTTAGAGAACCCTTATCACTTTAGAGGAGAGAGGGGGCAGTGTGGAGGATGGGGAGAGAAAGAGAGAGAAGAAAAGGATAAAAAGAGGAAGAGAAAGGAAAAAAGAAAGGGGTGAAGGCAGTGAGCTGTTTAGTATCAGACCTGTGATGTGACTCTTTGTGCGGAGTCAGACACTACAAACATACAGCCTGCATCGATCAGTGAACCTTGGCTGAAGAATTGTGTATTTTTACCCCAGTGTTAACAAACAGGATGAGATAGCACAGACTAAGCATGGATACATATATATTATAATGCATGTTTATCTTCATTTTCAGGCAAGGTAAAGAATATAATGCAACTGCTTTCCTCATGGATCCCTGCTGTTATTAATATTCATGGCACCTTAAAATTCCTTACAAAAATTTGAGGTGTGTTTTATAGTGTAATGGAAAGCCAGAGTTTGGTTGAATAGGCCCGAAGCTGCAGCATGAACATCTCAGAAGCCTGCAGTCTCAAAAGAAGGGAGGACGTATTATGCATTTGCTTTATAACCAGACAGCTTTGTTATGAATCGCTGCCCCGAGTGTGACAAATTACTATAAAAGGGACTATCACAATAAACCAGAAAGTGAGGAACACTCCAAATTGAAGTGTGTGACACACTCACCCGGCATTCACGCACGCTATGTAATTATGTGAACGAAGGGTGTAAATAAAACAGACTGGGCTTTTATCACTGCTCTGTGTAATTGATTTGCTAGATCTGCTTTGTTGCTAATGGCCAGAGGATACATCTCTGACCTGTACTGAAAAGAAATGGGGAGGGCAGCTAGGCACGACGGGGTGGTTTGATTTGATTTGTCGGGGTGCTGAAATGCTTGGCGCGGCTCGCCTTAATCACATGGCTTAATTAAAAACTGGCAGCGTGCGGGGTTGGACGGG